GAAGCTAATGGAATTGCAAGAACAGTTACAGTGTGAAGTAGTCAAAAAGATGAAATACTTGGGAATTGATTTGATGATGAAAAATATAGATTTAAAAAAAAATTATGAGAAGCTCTGGACAAAAATACAAGATCTAAAAAAATGGGACACCATGAATTTGTCATTGTTGGGAAGAATATCGGTGGTTAAAATGAATGTTTTACCTCGTTTGATGTTTTTGTTCCAAACCATCCTGATACTGAAGGAGATAAAGGTGTTGAATCGATGGCAGAAGGAGTTATCTAAGTTTGTGTGGGCGGGAAGAAAACCGAGAATTAAAATGAAAATTTTATGTGATGCCAAAGAAAGAGGAGGATTCCAGTTACCGAACTTAAGACTATATTATGAAGCGGTTTGCCTTACTTGGATAGAGCAATGGATTAATTTAGACAATAAAAAATTGTTGGCGTTAGAAGGCCATGACTGCAGGTTTGGTTGGCATGCTTACTTATGGTATGAGAAGACAAAAATGGAAACATTTCTCAAGCATCATTTTATAAGAAGATCACTGTTTGAGACTTGGATGAGGTATAAAAGATTTTTCTATGAAGCAAGACCACTTTGGATTGTAGCAGCAGAAGTAATTACACCATATTCGAGACATAAAGGCGAAGACTGGCTACCATATAGAGATATCTTGAAAACAGATGGGAAAAACTTTGTGATGAAAGAGAGAGAGGAGCTAGACTTTGAATATGATTGGTTGAATTATATACAGATCTTTGACTTATTTAAGACTGATAAAAAAGAGTTTGGTTTTTTGGGGGGGAAATGAAATAGAATGTATATGGGAGGTAAAAGGGGAAAAATGATATCAACTCTTTATAAGGCTTTGTTAAAATGGTTCACAGAAGATGAATCAGTAAAAGAGCAAATTATTAAATGGGCTGTAAATATGAATAAAGAGGTGACAGTGTCATCTTGGGAATATTTGTGGAAAAACTCAATTAAGATATCGACTTGTATTAATGTGAAAGAAAATTGCTATAAAATGATGTATAGGTGGTATATGACACCAAAAAAATAGCAATTATGAATAAAAGTATGTCTAATAAATGTTGGAAGTGTAAGAAACAAGAAGGCTCTTTTTACCATATGTGGTGGAGTTGTGATAAAGCTATGGCTTTTTGGACAGAAGTCCATAGAGAGATGCAGAAAATTTTGAAATGTACCTTTAAAAAAGAACCGGAGATTTTACTTCTGGGACTTAAGATGGAAGAAGTAAATGTAACAAAAAAGACATTGCTGTGGTATTTGATTACCACTGCTAGAATGACTTATGCACAATCTTGGAAACAAGACAGAATACCAGAAAAAGGGGAATGGATACAGAAAGTGTTATTTATGGCTGAAATGGACAAATTAACAAAGAAACTTAATAACAAAGAAGATCAAGAATTTTATGAAGAGTGGAAAGACTTTAAAGAATATTTAGAAAAAAACTGGGATGTTAAACATAATTTACTTTGTTTTGATAATTATTAAGAGCAGAATTATACGAAGGTATTGAATGAATAGAACAAATATTGTTACCTTGGAACTTAAGAATGAAAATGTGAAAAGATAATAGAAATATAAGAGGGAATGGAGGGAGGAGGGAGGAGCATTGCGGGAAGCCACCAAGAGGGAGGGGGAGGAGATAAGAGATATGGATATATGTTATTTGAAATGTAATGTTGAATATGTTGTTATATCCAAAAATAAAAGTTTGAAACAAACAAACAAAAAAGATCTGTGCACCTTTCATGCAGTGATTGCAATGATTAGAATTTTCAGAAAATCCAAGTGATACTGGTTTCCAAGCGGGAACTTGAAGAACTGAAAACCAAGGGGACTTAAAAGCGTTTAACTGTAGCTGTGCTATGGCCCTGCTTCTTGCTCAGCCCAGAAACTAGAGAACACGTTCATGGCAGAGTTACTACAGACATTATTCTAGTATTGACTCACCAGCAGCACTGATTGCCAGTCAATTCGGTGCATAAAGAAGCATTTCTCTACTCAAGGCATCTTCATTGCCAGGCCTATGGTTGAGGCAATGGGCATCTAGGGACATCAGCCTCCCCTATTCCACCTGGCACCATCTATTCTGTACTGGTGGCTGTGGCTGGTCCACTTGCTTAGGACTTTGTCTACACTGAGCACTCATACAGATACTTTTTTGGAGGATTATAAATCGTATTCGACCGTCATCTTGTTTGCTGTAGGCTTTAACAATTGTATTACGTTTCTAACCAGTTAAATTATTGTATAATTGTTGCTAGAACTATTGTTGTAATCTGCCCTGAGCCCTGCTGTGCAGGGAGAGGGCAGACTAGAAATCCAATTATAAATAAAATAAATAAATAAGTAGAGGCTACTACCTTAGAAGACTTTAACAAAAAAAGGTTTTGTTCATTCATGGAGGATAGATCTATCTAACAGAGTCAGGAGGCAGAGGAAAAGAAAAGTTGATTTTATACCCCACTCTTCACTACCTGAGGGAGTCTCACAGTGGCTTACAATAATCTTACCTTCCCTTCCTCTCCCAACAGACACCCTGGGAGGCAGGTGGGGCTGAGAGAGTTCTGAAAGAACGGTGACTGACCCAAGGTCACCCAACAGGTTTCATGTGGAAGAGTGGGGAATTAAATCCAGTTCTCCAGATTAGAGCCTGCCACTAACAGTTGGGGGGAAAGTAAGAGTCCTAATAGGAAATGGTTATCTTCAGAGTATCTTACTTCTGAGCTTCCTAAGAAGCTGCTGCTGAACTCCCATTAAAAAGAGTGCTGCAGTAGAGATGCACCTTTGTTCTGATACAAAGCTGTTTACAAACTAAATACGTTCTTTTGTCTTGTATAACAAAGTATAAGGTTCCCAAGCAAGGTTAATAGGATACTTGAGAGCAATTAGATCTTTCTGGAACATGCTGATTTTTTTTTAACATCTGTTCTGTACTATTTTGTCATTGAATTAAGTTGCATAAGCACTCAGCCCCCCCCCCCCCAAATTAAACACCATTTTCCCAAATGAATGCATATCCCCAGAAGCTCTTCCAATGTAGGAAATATGGAGAGGGCAATTTTTTGAATGCAAAAAAGCCACCGTCCCAAACAGGTGCTTGTTCAAAGAACTCAGTTCTCCACAGCAGAAACAAAGAATCCAATTGTTGTTTTGCTTTCTTCAAACACATAATTTAGGTGTCATAATATGCCATGCAGGAAGAACAGCCTTTTTTTAAAAAAAGTCAGCATTTAATTCAAACAGTCCAAGACAAAAGCTGTGTGTTAAGAATATGATGTGCCAGCTGCCATTGTTTCCTGTCCTTCTGGTAGAATGGCGCATGGTCTCTCCAATACTAGAACGAGGGAGAGGAAGAATACCTTAGGCAAAACACTTTGAACATGCAATATAAGCTGGTGGGAGGTCATCCAAAAATCCCACAAATCCACACTGCAGGTTATGTTTTTCCTCTGAGCACCCCACCCACTGGCAGCTTGCCAGACAGCAAGGTAGAATTCTTGAGAATCCCAGCTTCCCCAAGCGGAAGATAATCAAGCTTCCCAAGTACAGTTGCAGAGGAGAACTGTTACAGACCTCCCCCAGCCATGCAGAACCAATTCTTTCTAGGTCTACCTAACCTCGTTACAGAAAAGTACCCTGGAGAGCCACCCAAATCATGAGGTGAACAAAACAGCAAGCTTCGGCATACGTACTGATTTTTTTCAGTAGAATTATTTAAATGCAAATTAGATCTAGACTAACCTATTTACTGTGCCCTTCCTAACACTTTAAGTGAATAAAGAGAGAAATTCAGGAGAGTAGTTTTTCATACCCTGCTTTTCTCTACCTTAAGGAGTCTCAAATGGGCTTAAAATAAAAAATCTGTAAAAATCTGTAGAAAGTAAAAATCTGGAAGCCTTGCCTTGCCCTCCCCTCCCTTCAACAGGCACCTTGTAAGGTATGTGGGGCTGAGATAGCCCCGAGAGAACTGTGACTGGCCCAAGGTCACCCAACAGGCTTCATGTGGAGGAGTTGGGAATCAAACCCGGTTCTCCAGATTAGAGTCTGCTGCTCTTAACTACTACACCATGCTGGTTCTAATAAGCTTCACTGCTATCTGAATTGCTACTGATGAAAAGGCTTTTGCTACTATAAATTCATTTTCGAGATGTCTTACTTTTTTCCCTCTTCAGATACTCATGTAAGGTGTAAAAATCTGGAAGCTATATACTTCTGAATATCAGCTGCTAAGGGCCAATGAGAAGTCCAGGGAACTCGGCCTCTATGCTAGGGCATCTGAATGACTACGGTAGGGAAACAGGATGCTGGACTAGATGGTCTCCATTGGTCTGGATCCAGCAGGACTCATATCCTTGTGACATTCCGCTGCCCTTTAATACTACCCAAGGTCTGTCCACCAGACTGTTTCCTTCTGCTGAACAGCTGACTGCTCCTTTAAGGAAGGATAGAATTAAAAATGTAACAGATACATAACCAGTAGGAGCTGCAGGAAAGATGAGCTACCACTTACCAGCACCCATAGCCAAGATCAGGTAATAATGCAGGCACTCAGATATTTGCTAAACTGCAACTTACTAAACCCTGTTCATCCCCCAAGAGTGACACGTCTCAGATTGGCAAATTCCAGCCACTACTGTTACCCCTTTCCTGCATCCTTCTGAGCGGAGGGACTGTGATTCAGTGGTAGAGCATTTACAAAGCATGCAGAAGGTCCAGGTTCAGTCCCCAGCATCTCCAGTTAAAAAGACCAGGCATCAAGGAATGTAAAAGACCCTAGAGACCCGCTGCCAGTCTAAGTAGATAATACTGACTGTGATGGACCAAGGGTCTGATTCATGTGTCCACTAGCCTCTCTCCCATGCCAGTTCTAGCAATATTTAGCTATTGTCCTGTGTCTGTTTAGAGGAAGGAAAGCACTTGGTGATGAAAGAGGTAGGCACAGCCTCTGTTCCACCATCAGCAACACCAGCATCCGAATCAGTGTGTTTTTTTTTATTATTATTTACACATCAGGAGGTTACATTCCACCTCCTTTAGCATCACATTTAAAGAAAGTCAACTTAAAAAGAAGTTTTATCCCAAGCCGCTATAACTGCTGTATCATCATTTGGTTTACATGAGACATCCAGCAGCGCTTAGGTCGTCAGGAACACTGATTTTGCAACAAGAAAGCAAAAAGCCATGATTAACTTATGTCCTGCACCCCCCTCTACCCCCCAAAAAAGAACAAAAAACAAAAAACAAATCACCAGTCCTTGGTCATAAAGACGGATCAACACAAAACCCCATCAGTTCAAATGCTGCACAGATGCAGCTGCTTGTCCAAACAGACTGTCTAATATTCATCGAGGGTATCGGCCCGGGGGATGGAGAGGCCTCGCTCCTTCAGTGCTTGCACTTTTAGTTTATCCGACTCTTGCTTCGCTTGCTGCTCTACCCGCTGTACCTCCAGGATCTCCTCGATTGACACTTGCTGCAGTTGGGTGTCACTTTCCTTCTCTAGGTCCTGTGGCAAAATAAGGGTCAAGTCATATTCAAAAGTCATATTCAAGAAGAGAAGAAGAGATAGGATTTATACTCCACCCTTCACTACCCAAAGGAGCCTCAGAGCGGCTTACAACCACTTCCCCTTCCCCTTCCCACAATAGACACCTTGTGAGGTAGGTGGGGCTGAGAGAGTTCTCCCAAGAACTGCCCTTGAGAGAACAGCTCTGAAAAAACTTATGACTTCCCAAGGTCAAACCAGCAGCTGCATGTGAAGGAGTGGGGAATCAAACCCGGTTCTCCCAGATTAGAGTCTGCGCTCCTAACCACTACACCAAACTGGCAACAAAGGGGACAAAGAAGGTTGCTGGTTCACAAATTGCAACACAGCAACTTGCAAGCCCTTGGACAGAGTTTGGGCTCTGGAACTTCCTGCTAACATTTCACAAATGATGTGGCTAGCAAAGAAGGCCCGGGTCTCATGGAGACTGCAAAGCTGTGGCTGAACCAATTCCAGCTGGAGGCTCTTACGATGGGATGCCCTTCTCAACAAGAAGAGCTCCTTGTGCATACAGATCTAGCATATCAAGGCAAGTTCCAGCCTAGCTTTTCCCCTGGTACACTAGTTTTCTGTATGCAGAGATTTTCGACGCAGAGAAACATTTAACATGCGAGCTCAGATATGCAATTTGAAGAGACACAGCCCAGGAGCAGGTTTACTACTTCAGTTAAGTAGCAATTATCAGAGGTGCTTCACCGTTTTTAGTAGAAAAAAGTATGCACGCTGTCATTGCTCCTATCCCATAATGCAGGAGCAGTAACTTACCTTTAGTAGCTACATATAATCCTCTGAAGAATGCTTTGGGGAGCCATGATTAGTTGCAAGTTGCTGAAGTGCAGCTCTACTGTGCACACGTGCTTACACACACAGACAAAAAACACCCCACGTATAGCGGGGTATTTCTTGCATTTTAGGCAGCCAATATAGTGTAGTGACTAGAATACCAGATTAGAAGTAGGGAAACCCGTGTTCAAATCTCCATGCTGCCATGCCGTCTCACAGGCCAGTCTCAGACTGCCCCCCCTCACAGGGTTGTTGCAAGGATAAAACAGCAAGAGGAGAATTATGTACTCTCTCCAGGATAAAAATGCAGATCATTAACATATGAGGCAGGTAAAAGTAATACTTCTCAATGGGCTTCTCCCTCCCCAGCCTTTCCGCCCTCCATGTAGGAAAGCAAGTAAAAAATAAAACCATGACTTCGCTGCTAAGAGTACAGATTGCCGGAAGAAAGATCCGTACACAATTCATTGCACGGGTCAACCCATAGGATACTTCCACAGGGTGAGGATTCTCTATTCCGTATTCACTGCCACTGCAAATGCAGAGGCACACTGCATCAGCAATGGAGCATCCAAACAAGGGTAATTTGTGCATTTTCCTCCATCAGCTGAAATTTCCCCTACATTTCTCCATCTTGCCATACCATTGGTGAGCTTTCTTTAAAAAATGGTAATTGGTATAGGCAGGGGTCATTTCGTAGAAAAAGAGCTAGGGGAACTCATTAGGATAACTCATTAGCATATGCCACACCCCCATGAGGGGCCCAGCGGTGGACCTGCAAGGCCGGCGGGAGTGCAAGGAAGCCCCACTTCCAGCCCTCCCTGGCCCCAGGCAGGCAGGGGTGGGGAGAGGCAGGGAGGAAGCAACTTACCCTCCCTCTTCTCCTGCCTCCTCCTGGCCGAATGAGGGCCGGAAGCGGGGCGGGCGGAAGCAGGGCTTTGTCATGTGCCCCGCCCTCCGTACCTCACCCGGGGAAACTGCGATCCCCTGCGTTCCCCCCGAAATGATCTCTGGGTATAGGACTGTAGCAGTCACCTTGAAGGAAAAAAAGGCCTCAAAAGGCTTTCCGGTGGTACAGCACAGTGGCTGCAAGGGAAAGTGGAAGGAAAATGGTGATGTGGGTGGGTCCTTCACGAATGTACACCTCCCTACTCAGATGACGTGTTAATGCACCTCAACTGTGCTCTTGCAGAAAAGACTGCAGTAAACCAGATTTGAGGAAGAGCATTCTGAGGACGAAGGAAAACCTGGCTCATGAAAGAGTACAGACTGACATGTGGTCGCTCCCAAAGACAGCGCTCCCCTCCAAAAGCAAAGTGTTTCGGGGGGAAGTGTCTATATGAAAACAACCACAGCAATAAAAAAAGGTGCAAACTTGGCACGAGAAATGCTGAGGACAAAAACAGGGCAGGTAAAAGGCAAAGAGGATACACCTGGCCAGTGTTCCGTCTAAGCTGAGTTAGTGTGAGCTAGCTCACCGTTTCTTAGCCTCCGGCTCACAAATTTTTGTCTTAGCTCAGGAAGGAGGACTCCAGAGCAAACTGATTTATGCAGCAGCCCAATCGCTGGCTCACAACTTTAATGCCAGTAGCTCACAAAGTAGAATTTTTGCTCACAAGGCTCCACAGCTTAGAGGAAACATTGCACCTGGCCCTCACCTGAGATCTCCCTCTGCCTGGGACCAGCCTCACCCTCACCCCAGCAAAAATTGAACAGAGGAACATCAGTTGAGAACCAGTGCCCCAAATCCCAAATGACACTGAGGAAATCCCTGTGAACCGCAAATTTGGGGAATGGGGGGAGGGGGGAGCAGTGAGGGAGTTGCTTACTTACAATTTCTCCCAGAAGAACAACGTTCTCGCCTCTCACCACAAAGATGCCGCGGGGGATGTCACCGTATTTTTTACCCACGTGAATGCGCTCCACTGTCTGGTGCAACACCAAGTTGGCTGCAAGTTTCAGGGCGAGGGGAGGGGAGAGAACAGAGAAAGGACTGAAATGCATGGGGGCAAGAGAGGCATGAGAAATCTCACACACATGGACAACCACCTTCAATGCACTTCATGATATTCTTCAACCGTGCTCTAAGAGCTTGACTGAGTGCCGACTGACAGCAACGAGTGTGCCTGCCCGTAAAGTACGACGGCCTCCAGCTGGATCCCTCTTAGTGGTTAATTCCAGCAGCAATTACAGCTCCCAGACTTTGTGGGTGCTGTGAGAGGACGGAGCTGTGGCTCAGTGATAAAGCATGTGCTTTGCATGCAGAAGGTCCCAAGTTACCTCCTTGGTATTTCCAGTTATGATGGTCCCGGAAAGGTAGCAGTGTTAGTCTACAGCAGCATAATAAAACAGCAGTCACCCTGAACTCTGCTAAAGAAAGCTGGATAAAGATGTACTCCAAAAGATAAGATTTGTTGAAGTTTACTCTTCGAGATGCCAAAACCTGCAACAAGACGCTGTAAAGGCATGGCTACGAATCCTACAGACATAACACAAAGCCATGGTTTTATTTTAATTAGTGTTAGTTTGCCTCCACACAGAATTCTGATTTCATAATCACTCAGACCCCGGCTTTCCTTGATAAATGCTGGTTTCTCTTTGCTCTCCCCCCGCGCTGGCATCCTGGCCTGCAGTGTTGAAAGGGTTAAGCTAGGATTAAGCTAGGCCTCTGTGTGTACACAAACCCACTTAGGTCAATACACTGGCTTCAAACCGTGGCTCTAGATCCTGGTTTGATGGACCCCAACAAAACACAGCTAGTGGCTCACATTTGGATGATCACCCTAACCATGGTTGAACTGAACCCACGGTTACTCACAACATCTGAACTGTCTGTGATTTATTTATTTTTAAGTACATGTCGAAGAGCAGTGAGTGATTGGGTAACTGCTCCCCAATCTGGCTCACCTGAGTGCACACTTACGTACACTTAAATGCAGACAAATGTGAACGTGTTATTGTTCTCTGAAGGGTGCACATTGTTCACACTGTTCCCAGCTCTTCAGAGTTACCCAAATCGCAAGATCATTCCTTTGCGCTATCCTACCAAGACCTACTCAGCTCGTAGAGTAATTTCTTGTTCAATAGATAATACGGGGGGGGGGACATTTAATCATTCATGACTCATGGTACTTAGGCTGCAGTCACACATGCTAAATAATCCACTTTCAATGCACTTTCCAATTGGATTTTTGCTGTGTGAACTGGCAAAATCCAGTTTGAAAGTGCATTGAAAGTGGATTGCAAGTGGATTATTTAGTGTGTGTGACCACAGCCTTAGTTTCTTTTAAATAAATATTTAAAATGCAACGAGAGCTTTATGAGCATGCAGTGGTTACAGATATTCAGAAAAGGTAGGAAGGCGCAGTACTCCGAGTCATCTCTGCTTTGAGAACACAGCTGGACCCACAGCACCCCCGTGGTGGGGAAAGGATCACTGCTGCTGGCTCTCTAACAGTGTGGCGGGCTCTCAAGCACCCAGGCTTTGGAGCAACTGCCCCACCTTGACCTACAGATCCGAAGACGTTTCCATGGTCATGTGGCCGGCATGACTAAACACCCAGGGCACTGCGAAAAGTTTAATCTGGCCACTGATTTGAAGAAAGGTGTGGCTTCTGGTTGTAAGACTGTTGGAACCTGGAGGTCTGTCCAGGCCCTTGTAAATCTGCATAACCCCGCTGCAATTTCACTTGTCAATTATTTGGGAGATGAACGTGCACATTTGTTTCAGTGACAACACATGACTGAGAAACGCAACCCCCGGGTGAACGGGGAGTGTGGGCAGAATCCTAGTTTGTTGGAAAGGATTGCAACATTTCTGAGTTACTCAGGAAACTCTTAACGGCTTTGCTAAACCAGTTTCATTCTGCAGAAATATCAGAGGCATATAAGAGTCACACCACACATGACGCTCGTGCCATCACTTTGTTCCCAACTGTCTAGTAGTGTTTGGCTCTCTAGATGGAGCTACAGAAGGGAAGCTGTTGGGGAACGGCAATAGGGATCAGCGAGTCAGTGTCATTTCCTAAACAAAATGGCTCCCTCCAGACTGAGGTAAGCATTGGCAGGGAAAAGGGGGGGAAAACCCAGCCCCAATACATGTACCTCTTTTTTTTCTTTCTGCAGGTTTAAAGCAGCCAGGGATGGGAGTCTTTACACTGCGATGAGTGGTTAACAACCCCTTCTGCAGCCCCTGGGCCTCTCAGCCCATATGTGATCTCCAGCATCAGACGTGATTTAAGGGAAGGGGCTGTGGCTCAGTGGCAGAGCTTCTGCTCGGCATGCTTAAGCTCCCTGGCTCAATTCCCAGCATTCTCCACTTAAAAGGATCAAGTAGGAGGTCATATGACAGCCCTCTGTACAAGACCTTGGGGAAGCCCTGCTGGTCAGAGCAGACAACACTGACCTTGATAGACCAAAGGTCTCACTCAATATAAGGCAGCTTTGTGGTTCAAGTGGCCTCAAGCTGCAGTGGGTCAAAGGGATTCCAAGTTCATGCCTAGTCCCCTCTGTCCAAAGATGGAGCTGCCAACAAACCAACAGATGAGTCGGAGGGGGGTCCTCTTGACCATGACCTGAGACCAATGCTCCCTCTAAGCTGTGGAATCTTGTGAGCAAAAATGCTACTTTGTGAGCTACTGGCATTAAAGCTGTGCGCGAGCCATTTGTCTCCTGCATCAATTAGGAGCCATCCTTCCTGAGCGAAGACCAAAATGTGTGAGCCAGAGGCTAAAAAACTGTGAGCTAGCTCACGCTAACTCAGCTTAGAGGGAACACTGCCTGAGATGCACAGTGTCAGGCTAGGCAAAAATGCTTTCAGCAGCAGCTCCAGCCCTGTGGAAGGGACCACCAACGGATCATGTGAGGACTGTTCCTTCCTTTCTGCCATTAGGAAGAAAGCCAGCATGGTTCGACAGAATGCCAGACTGGGATCTGGGGAGACCCAGGCTCAAACCCCCTGCTGTGGAAGCCCAATGAATAAACATGGGTCAGTCACACACTACCTCACGGGATTGTTGTGATAAAATGGGGGCAGGGAGAATGATGTAAGCTATTTTGGGTTCCCGGTGGTGAGAAATAATCAAATAAAGGGGGAACGTACAAGGTGGAGCTTTGTAGAAGCGCCTTAGGCTGAATGTTTGTTTACTGGTATGTTTGGAAACCATGATGAGCTGAGGGGAAAGCGGCACACAAGTGAAGTCACATCGCCACCCATTTTACAGACAGCAGTTCAAGGAATGGGTGGAACAGTCCAGATGGTCCCTGGGAATCGCTGCCAGAACAACTGCTTTGCAAGATACCAATACTGAAGCGCACAGGCCACAGGCGTCATAGGGCTGCTTCCTGCTTCTATGCTGTTTTTCCTGGCAAGTGGTTCAGAGTGCAGCTTAATAAGACACCCGGCTACGGCAGAGATGCAACAGCCTAACAGAACATCTGGCTTCTTAGGCCAAACACTGATCAACTTCCATTCCGCCAAATGGCGTGAAAATTAGTTGCAAGGCATTTTTGCAAGATAGGGTTGCCAAGTCAAAATGTCTTACTGGCGGGGGAGCCTCGCCGGGCTCCGGGAGCCGTTCTTCACCAGCACATCACCGGAAGTGACGCGCGACGTTGGTCACGTTGAAGGCGTGGCCCCGATCGTCGGAGGGAAAACCATAGAGTCACGCTGCACTTCAGGGGGCGGAGTTCCCCCCGGGGCCCGATTCCGCAGCGGCGGACATCAGGCCTCCGAAGCGGGGTTTACCTGCCCCCCGCCCCCACTTGGCAGCCCTATTGGAAGACCAGAGGGGAGGGACTGGCCATACCCAGCATCAGACTCCATTGACCTGAACCAGTGAGTGTCAAGAACTGGAAGAGGAAAGGTGTGGGCCCCGCCAAAGATTTCTCGAAGGGAAATTCCAATCCTATTCCTAGGGCCGACAGCTAAGCTAGAATGGTCCGAGGCAATGCTGCCTTTAAAAAAAAGAGAGAGAGAGAGTCAAAAAGACCTATTGGGTACCTTTCAAGAAGTTTTGGCCAGCCAAAAAGAGAACATCTCGACATGTTATCTTCAGCGTTTACAAGGCTTTTAAGAATTCCAGAGCGGTTTTTATGTGCCATTATGAACGGCGCATAAATATTTGGCAAGCGGGACCTTAATTATAAACTCCCTTATCTTGAAGAAACCCAGAAGCTCCTGCTTTGTAAACTGAAGCGGAAGATTATTCAAGATAAGGCAGTCCAGGCTGGTCCCGAACCATGAACACAGACAATTATTTTGGATGCTTCGTGCAACACTTAGATTTTGCATCTACTCTCACTAATTTTTTTAGCAAATCTGCAATTAACGGAAGACCGTGCGCCATGCCCTTGCTTAGGACAGAATGAGTAGCCCGGTTCTAGATTTGTATTTGTAGATTGGGGAGACCTGGCTTCAAATTCCACACTCAACATGAAAAATCTACAGGGTGACCTCGGACCAGCCACATATTCAGCCCAAGCCTACCTCACAGGGTTGCTGAGAGGATAAAACAGAGGTGCCAAGGACTACATACACTGCCCTGCACAAGGAGAGGCACAATAATGGAACAGAAAGCTACTTTGAATGGGCCAAATGATCCCATCTAACCTCACTGGTATTAAATACCACTTACATAAATGTCTCCATTTCATATTTCAAAGCTATGAGTCATGTCACGTCTGGATAGATGGTCACTTATCCTCTGAAGTTACGCCAATGTACTATGCCGATCTCTTTTTAAGCAATGGGAGAGACTATTCTGAACACTTATTTAATAGGAATGTACTATAAATTCCCTTTAGAAGTTCCTTAGAGCAGCTGCATGGATGATGCCATATTTCAAACTTTAATAGGCCTGTAATGATGTTAGCCTGCTTTTATAGCCAATATAAAATGTCATAGTTTATAAATATTGATAGAGCATCAGGGAAAGACTTATTCCACTAC